TATCCAACAAAATTATAGTTGATGTGGATGAACAAAAACATGCTCCCTAAACTGGTTATTCATATAGACTATAAGGAACACAACTTCTTTTCAACTAGCTGCTCTGAAACATTAAGTATTATTAATAGCAAAACAAAGAAAATATAGAAAGCTTAAGAAAAAGTATCAGTAATGACAATTCCTGATATTTAAATTGTATCATTTATATCATAATTGGATTAGAATGTTTGGGAAATTTAAAATATTAAAGCAATTTATTTAATAATAACAAGATTAGTGTAGAAGTGCCTCTCTTCAACCAACTGGGGAAAGAGAGTTTAGGACTTTCCTCAAAATAGTCACAATGATAGTGGGCATACTTTGTGCTGACTTACAACGGTTTGCCCTGGCTTGGCTTATCTCATTTCAGCCAAATATTATTTGTTCAGAAAGTGGGACTCATTAAGGGACTCATTCATCAACTCAGTAGGTTTCTTATAATGATCAGGCTGGTATAGCTAAGAATCTAACCCCAGTTCTAAATAGGGAGAAGAGTTTTGTTCTAGGTGTAATACTTATCTATTGGAATGTCTATGGAAATTCTCAGTCATGGTTCTCCCAAAGGTGCTTTTTCAAAAGGCAACTGGACTTTGTTTTTTCCTTGAAGATGTTTTGCTTCTCATCCAAGAAGCTTCTTCATTTCTGACTGCTCTCTCAATAGAGGGGGAAGGATATGATATCACCTATCTCCTATTTACAACACAGTCATTTCAACATTTCTAAGAAGGTTCAACACTAATTTGCACTATTCAGGTGACCCTGAGGGCACAGATAAACCTCCAAGTAACCTCAACAACTCTCAGGGTGCTAATGACCAGTTGACTGCAAAGAACATAAATCCTTCCATTCTCCACCATTTATTCAGAACTGAAGAAGCTTCTTAGATAAGAAGTGAAACTTTTCAAGGAAAAAACAAAGTCCAGTTGCCTTTTGAAAAAGCTCCTTTGGGATTACCTACTGGTAGAAAAACATACATTTACAGGGAAAATGTCAACTGAAAAGAAACTCAACTTACTAATTGGAAGAAACAAGTAAGTTACCAAGATTCATCTACAGGTAGTACCGACTGACAGTAGTAAGTCAATTAGTGGCCATTGAAAATTACAGCATCACTGAAAAAAGTGACTCATGACCAATTTTAACACTAATAGCCATTGCAGCATCCTCATGGTCACGTGATCTAAATTCAGACACATGGCAATTGCCTCATATTTATGACGGTTGCAATGTCCTAGGATTATGTGATCACCTTTTATGAACTTCTGACAAGAAAATTCAATGGGGAAGTAGATTTGCTTAATGACTTTGCTACTTAACAACTGCAGTGATTCACCTAACAACTGTGGCAAGAAAGATCGTAAAATGGAGCAAAATTCACTTAACAAATGTCTTTAGCAACATAAATTTGGAGTTTGGGGTAAGTCGAGAGCTAGCTATACCACATTTTCAACTGAAGTGCCAGTGTAGCTGAACTGGACTTTATTTTGGGAAAAGGTTGATGAGAGTTTGTTTCTGTCTCTACCATTTTCCTGGAACATGTTGCATTTAGTGTACAAAATTTAATAAATGAATAGAACTCTCATTAAGGTTTCTCAGAGTTAAACAATCTTAACTAGAATTGTGAAATGGAGCTCTGAGGGGATTCTTAGATTCATATGGTTTTGCTTTGTGGGATAAAATATCTAGTAGTAGCTACTTCTGAAGTTTCTCCTTCTGGGTTTCCTGGTACAATAGCTGGAGAACTGATACATGTGTTCTATAACAAAAACAGATCTTTGTTTGGAACAGGCAGAGCTAGGTCAAAAATTCATTTAAACTGTAAAAATCACTAGATAACCTTTGCTCTATTAACTGGCTGTCACACACAGTAAGCTAAACCACACATTAACCAACCACAATTTAGCCTAGAACACATCCAACATTTATTCAATATAGTCATATGCTTAATTAGAGGTTTCAAACAAAAGTACTCTTCATTAATTTATTGAAGGGTCAGGTACATCAGTGCCATAGTTTGGCATATGATTTAATTTTGGGATAATGTAGACATTTTTTTTCTTCCTAGAATCAAAAGTTTGAATTCACTCTTAGTTAAAAAGATGCCTCCTGCCAATACAGTATCAAAGAAAACTGAACATTTGCCTCAGACCAGCAGTAATTCTTTATCTGGAAGAAAAAAGTTTGTAGATTCCAAGGGATTTGCTCCAAATTTTAAAGCATTAAGCAACCTTAATTACAAAGAATCTAGTCCTTTCTTATACTGAGCAAAATTCATCTGAATGTTCTTGTTCAAATTTACCCTGGAATTATTCTGTTAATTAGACTGAATGAAGGCAAAAGAAAACATTGTGAAACATTTGTTTCATAAGGAAACAAAAAAAAAAAAAAAAACCCAACCAAACAAAAAACAAACAAAGCCAAGAGTGAAAGAGTGAAACAAAAAGTGAAAACAAATATCTCCAAACACAT